AGGTGAGACAAGGTACTACTGCATTGGCAAGGCTGTTTGTCTTTGGGTCCTCAAGGGATGAGGGATAAACTCCAGGGTGTGAGGTTGGGCTTTAGGAATGGTGTGCTGGCCTTGGAAGGTGGAAGACAGATAAGAGGACCCAAACTGAGAGTCTGTGGCCACATTTTCACCAAGCTACCTGTAAGCACCTGCATTATTTTAATCAACAGAAAAACTTCCGCATTGTATTGGCTAAAAGAACACATAGTTTCATCACCTGTGTTTTTTCAAAAGTCTCATGTTCCCACTGAAAACAATATAAAAGATAGAACCTGAACGGTCTCTATTACTGTAAAACAAATCACCCAGAAACTCAGTGGCTTGGTAGAAACACCTTTCACATTTTCCGCCTGGACTTGGCTGTGTGGTTTCATGGGGAGACATCTGTAGGCTCTATCTGTGCTGGAGACATCTGCAGGGCTTGACGGGACTAGACATCTGCAAAGGCTCACTCACATGGCTGGCCGCAGATGCTGGTGTTGGCTGGGCGTTTAGCTTGGGCCGTTGACAAGAGCACCTGCCTGGGGCCTCTCCATGGCTTGGGCTTCTCACAGCATCAGCATTGGGAAAGATATATACATATACCTTGGCAAACTTTAAACACTGAGTTGCACAAATGTTTATGTTCATCTTTATTATTAAATTAATAAAAATATCACGAGGAGATTTGGTCTCTTCTCTCAAGTAATACAGTTTTAAAATCTCATAATTAATGTAATTAAAGTTTTTTTATACTTATACTTTCAATAAGTATTTATTAGGCATTTTTATTTATTTATTTACTTTTTTTGAGATGGAGTTTGGCTCTGGTTGACCAGGCTAATATGCAATGGTGCGATCTCAGCTCACTGCAACCTCTGCCTTCTGGGTTCAAATGATTCGCCTGCCTCAGCCTCTCGAGTAACTGGGATTACAGGCATGCGCGACCATGCCTGGCTAATTTTGTATTTTTGGTAGGGATGGGGTTTCTCCATGTTGGTCAGGCTGGTCTTGAACTCCCAACCTCAGGTGATCCACCCACCTTGTTTATAATCTAACCTAACTAGAATCTTTTTAAAAGCAGGACAAAAAATTCAACATTTTGTATGATTATAGCTATGTTAAAATATGTCTAGAAAATACAGCCAGAGGAAATAAAAACTTTCATTGCCTCAAATTGCCGCAAAGCCAAGGGGCACTGCCCATGGCCAGGGAGGGTGAGCCCTGGAAGCACCGAGGTTGCTGACTCCCAGCCCAGGAGCAGCTGGACCCTCAGGCCCTAGTGCCTGGTTTCTCCTTGCATGTGAATCCAGATCCCAGCATTTTGTCATTGACGGGAGCAGCCTTGGCTCACCCTCCTGGAAAACAGAAAGATGCTCATGGATGCTGGCTGTGAGGCAACCCGAGGGCTCAAAGACCTCCTGTGGGGCTCACATTGGGGCCAGAGCCTCAGCCTCTGACACCCGAGAATGGAGTGGGCAGGATGGGTGGGGCAGAGAAGAAGAAAGTTCTCCGGATGTCCTGGTTAGTCACCCTGATGCTGGGAAATGGACACTTATGGCTGAATCAGGGAGAATCAATTCTCTTGGCCAGAGAAACAAGCCATTATGGCCAGCGAAGCGCTCACTAAGCACACGCAAATACACGTGTATGTGCACCCACAAACACATAGAATTACACACACGCCCAATACACACATA